TATTTGACATAACCATGAGTTTATTTTACTGTAAAATTTTTTGACAGAGGGCTTCATTTTACATTTATTTGACATAACCATGAGTTTATTTTACTGTAAAATTTTTTGACAGAGGGCTTCATTTTACATTTATTTGACATAACCATGAGTTTGTTTTACTGTAAAATTGTTTGACAGAGGGCTTCATTTTACATTTATTTGACATAACCATGAGTTTATTTTACTGTAAAATTGTTTTCTTGAAATTACTTTTGAAATAATATATTTCTTTTATTGGCACAATAGAAAATTGAGTAACTAGCTAAAAAAATGTCTTAAAAGTTTTAATTCTTTGTTATAATAAGATTTTAAAGTTTTAATCATATATATATATATAACCTTAATAAATATCTATACATTATAAATCATACTCACTGTTTGTTTTTTCTTTGCTCAAGTGAGTTTGAAATTGTATGCTTGAAAATCATTTTTTATATGAATTTGAACATGATACTCTACTACCTTGAGAAAATGCTAATAGTTCAAGCAGTGAGCTGATAGGTAGAAGTAATATAAACAAGAATTTAACCTACTAGATGACAAATGGACAGATGTTGAACAATGCCAAAAGTTGTAAATACTTAAACTTTATATAAATGATCTGTTAACAGCATGGAACAGTTGTGTGTTCTTGCACCTGTGAAACTATAGTTTTGAATTTCTGATTTCATGTACATATGAATATTAGGTTCAACTTGTAGTCTGTATAATTTGCTTTAAATGGCTGTTAGAAAACAAAACACTGGTTGTGAAACATAATACCGCATTACAAAAATTATATCTGAAGTAATTAATATGTTAATACTTTGTGAACTTTCATAATTATTGAACTTTTATCAGTAAATGTTTTTAGTATCCAGCAGAATGAATACTTGGGTATTACAGTTTATTTATAATCTAGTAGTATCCATTTTCATACATTGGTAAATTGTGGTTGACGAATGGTTTATTTAGTTAATATATGTCCACTGCTAACAAAATCATTTGTGTTGTGCTTCCACAACAGATGGCATGCATCACAATAACAAAAGGATAACTGTTGTTAACATTCGTTTAAGGAAGATGATGAGATTGTTCACATATATACCAGCAAATAAAATTGTGTACCGAGATGAGCTAAGATAATTTCTGCGACAAACATTGGTAAATGAAGGGATGTTTGTTTAGAGTATACAAGATGTTAACAAAAAATAAGATGAATCCTTGTCAGAGGTATTGTCCTTGAATTGGATATTCACTCTGTGGAAATAATAATGATAACTATTTACACTATATCAAAATGGCGGGCTACACAGTTAATATTACAACACAAAGTGGACAGATTTGACATCTGCATTGAGCTAGTGCTGTAATACTGTGTCATAAAGGATGAATTTTTTCATCAAATTTTCAAAGGTGATGAAAATTACACCAATTTGACCATTACCCAAACTCTGACATGGCTCCTCTATAGGAGCAAAGCATAAATATGGCTGGAAAAAGCAGATTATAAAATATGTACTTAATTAAAAAACTGAAGTGTACAAGCTGCACACAAAATAGTTGCAAGTGAGTAAAAAAAATGGTAACACTAGAAAGCTGTTAATCTAGAAGATGAACCGTTCAATGATGTAATGAGGTGATCTTAAACAAATACTGACATCTTTCTGGTGTTACCAATTCTAATTTACTTTCATTAGCAACTGTTTAAATATTCTTTGGGATTATGAACTCAACTGATTTGACCAAGCCGGTAGAGAGAGGGATAATGTGCTACTAGTCAGTGCTTGAAGTTGGACAATGAAGTTAGAAAAGTCAGTGTGTTATCAGTACACTAGTCCTGCAAGTGTTTGAACTTGGACAGCGAACTTAGACATGTCATTGTGCTACTAGTTAGGCATGTCAGTGTGCTCTTAGGTAGCTAGCCCTGCAAGTGTTTGAACTTGGATGGTGAACTTAGACATGTCATTGTACCACTAGTTAGGCATGTCAATGTGCTGTTAGGTAGCTAGCCCTGCAAGTGTTTGAACTTGGATGGTGAACTTAGACACATCACAATATGTTATTAGTCAGAGAGATGACAAGTGAAATGCTAGTGAGTGAGATGATTTGGCTTTATGCTTAAACAATACTCTTGTAGCTGTTCTACTAGTCTTTTGTTGTGACACAAATAGTTCTGATGATATATGTCTGAGTTCTGAAATTTGTTTTGCTGATGATATTATTACCATAATAAGGAAATAGTTAGTGCTTATTTTAGCCTCATAAATGTGTTAAAACATGCACAGTATATTCATTACACTGTTTCCAATTTTTAGAAAATCTTTTATTGCCAAAGTTGGTGTTAGTATTAATATTAGTAGTAGAAATCTATTTTTTGACTGAACATCATTCCCTAATAATGTTGGGTCAGTGGCTATTGTTACAGCTGAACATGTTTAGCTGCAATATAGCAGCACATAGAATCGCTATGAGTTGTTTTTTTTCTTCTTCTTCTTCAGTTACAAACTTTTAGCTCATAGCTCCATCATCTCTTGACCGATGCAAGATCTAATTACAGTTTTGGACTCAGGAGGTCAAACACTTTTAATTGATGTATTTGACTACGCCCAAGGTCTCATAGATTAATTTACTCTAATCCTGCCTTAAAGAATTTCAATTTGAGGGTAAACTGTAGAGTTCCTGATGAGTAATAAAATTGAATCAGGTATATGCGCACCCAATGCTTGGTATTGCTGCCACACAAAAATATAACTTATAAAAAGGAAAGAGGTCTTATGGGTGAATTTACTCTAATCCTGCCTGAAGAATTTCAAGTGTCATGGCTATTTAGGATTTCCTATTGTTTATCTCATGTATCAGATACTTTATGGATATGTTGTATCAGCTAACTGATGCTTGTATAGGAAAATTTCAAAGCAGTCCATGCCAAAACTGTCTGCTTTATAAAACAGCATTGAAATTAAAATGTATGTGATAAAGCATTTTCTAGAATATGTAAATCTTCCGGAAAATGTGATTTGTGTTTAGGAGCATTAAAAATAAATTTATCACACTTAGTATTACTTCAGTTAACAGTAGTTAAGACTGTATGTGATTAAATATTAATGAGTTGGATAAACATTTTGGAAGACATTTGTACTTCAGTACTGATACTTGAAACATACATGCTTTTTTTTTTCATTTTCATAGGGCTTGGCCTAGGAACTGTTCATGTGCAGAAAGAACCAGCCCTCACTAAGAAGATTGGAGTGAACTCACTGCCATATCTCATAGGGGTTATTGATGGTAGACCTATTCACTACAAAGATAATCAGCTAAGCCTTCTGCGAATCATTGAGTTCACTCGTAAACTGTTCCCCTACAAAACAATAGTAAATGTGAATGATGATTCCGTGGAGGAGTTTTTAAATGGATGGCCTAACAATAAAGTCAATGCACTAATCTTTAGTCAAGTGGAGCCTCCTCGTCTTCGTTATCTGCTGTTGGCCTTTCAGTATAACACACGTGCTTCCTTTGGACTAGTAAAGCTTGGTAATTCAAAGACGCACGAGACTTGTAGACGTTATGGAGTAAACAAGAAGATGGAATCTTTGTTGATATTCAACGAGATTACGACATCCCCCGTGGCAACTCTTAGCATGGGGGAACTGGCTCCTCAAACAATGCGGGATGTGCTAGAGGCTAACAAGTTTCTTCTTCTCCCTCGTTTGTCTTCACAGCTGCTTTTTGATCAACTCTGTCCTCCAGAGGCAGCCAGATCTAGGAAACGATTGTGTGTTATTCTCATCACTAGGAATACCCAAGCTCACGACCCATATCGAGCTGTGATGAGAGAGTTTATTCAACAGAGTAACTGTCCAAAAGAGAAAGTCAGGCACGTATTTCTTATTTTTAGTTCTGTTTCATAATAGTCTTGTAAAAAATTCAGTTTAACATTAATTTAATTCTAACTGTACACAAGAATAGCTTAGATGTCTTATATGTTACTGATGTCAAACAGTCGATACAGTACGTCTTTTCTTATTCGGAAGTGTCTAGATCATTATGTAATATTTAAACATAAAAAATATTTGAAAAGAAACTTCCTTTTAATACACTCTTTGAGTCTGATCTTAATTATATCAGAGTAGTTTTTTTCATCTGATTCCAATTTTCATCTTAAAAAAGTATCATTAGGATATGTTGAAGTTTAAAAACAGTGAAAAATTGAATGGTGGTTAGGAATTACATCAGGTCTGTTGAGTGTGGTGTCTAGCTTGTATGAAGTGTATAAGTGTTGAAATATCCTTTAATGCTCTAAGAACTGGTGGGTATAAGAATTACTGCCAGCAAACATGTAAAGAAAAAATTATCTATAAAAAAAAAATGTTGGGTTTTGAAGAGTGTACAAGAGGAGATACAACTTAAAACTAAGATGTTTCATAAAATAAAAATTGATAACTTGGCTGCACGAGAAAATAAGAGTACAGAATTAGCATCTGTTGTAATGTTAATAGTTGAATTAACAAAATGTTATCAAAATAATATGTGACTATTTTATGTTTTTATTTCAAGTGCTAGGTACATATAAGTAGATTTCAAAATTATTAGCTAGTTAAAAATATAAAAGTAGTGGTTATAGCTGAGGTTATAAAAGAAAAATTCATCTTTTTTACATTATTTTACATGAATAAACAGTTTATTGACAACACATACAGGTTGACCTCTGAAATTAAGGTGACATTCTATTACATATTCTCCCATTTCAGTAACTTTTGTATTCAGAAGCAGTAGCTATCAGTGATAATATTTTTCAGCTTTTTGTTTATAATATTTTTTAGAAAACCTTAGGTTTAAATTTGGGAGTTGAAATATTTTCTGTTTAATCATAATAGTATAGATGGTAACAGTAGAAAACTGTTTGAAGTTCATGTTTACATGGTGTTAATAAGTTTAGCTTAACTTATGTTAAACATTCAGGTTTTATCTAGCTAAGCCTTTTGAAATGGTGTATGAGTAGATACAAGTTTGGGTTGTATTATATCTTTGAAGTTTTGAGTTCAATGTTAGATTTTATTTACTTGCCATGTAAATAGTAGGCCTTTTCTTGGGAAAACCCACATGTGCAGTTATTCACACATGCTAATAAATTTGTATGTGTGAATTGCATGGGTGCTTAAATTTACTTTTTAATTTTGATTTTTTTTCTCTTTTCACGAGATAAAACAGAATCATTAGATCAATGACTATGCTGCTGAATACATTTTCATATATAACAGGGTTCATGTGTAACTTTTTTGTTAGAGAGGCATCCGAGCATCCAAAACATGCATTTTCAAGGGCCAATCCTACAGCTCATTGTAAAATGTACTCTATAGTGCAGGTTATCAGAAAAATCACTGAATTAAATAGCAGATGTTACATAAATTGAAAAGAAACTAAAGACATAAACATATCTCAATTTATTTTGTTTTGAACTTGTACTTCATGAAAAAAAACCAAAATCAAACCATTTCATTTTTTTCAGACCACTTAAATGATTTTTGTTTCATATACAATCTTTAATTTCTCTCTAAAGCATGGTATAACAGTAACTTTTTGTTCCCATTTAAAGTAGTGTCCTTTAATAATGGAAGAAAATCCATGCATCACTGTGGATGTAATCTATTCTTGTTCCCATATAACCCATTACCATCTAGCTGACTCATATTTGTCAATAAAATGTCAAACATCTATGATGGAGAGAGATGGAAAAATTATACAATTTACTTTACCACTAACTTTATAGCAGTCAGTTTTTTCATATCCTGAAACAGCTGTTAATTAGTCATTCATGAATTTGAATTTGTAATAAGCAAAATCCTCAAATTAACAACATATGGAAAATGTGTAAATACCTCTAAAAGGGTTTAGGTTGTGATGAGTTAAACTTAAATTAGTGTCCTTTTCTAATCAAAAAATATATAATGGAAGGAAATCTAGCATGCATCTGTGTCTGAGGATATTCCAACATCCATTTCTTCCTTCATCATGCTTTTCACTTTGGTCTCTGTGCAAAGTGACCCTGAGTTCCAAAGATGATAGCCGTTATGGGATCAAAGTCACTTATTGAAGGTGAATGGAGCATGACCAGAAGCTGATCAGTGATCCTGTCAGACAAAATCTGAAATTGGTCTTGATCATCTTCATTTTGCTGAATCCTTTCTGCCTCAGCAGAGCTGGCTGGTACAGACAGCGGTAGGTCAAAGAGGTCACAGGTGTCAGATAGCTCTTCCTTAACCCCAGGGATGACAGCAGCCCATTGTTGACCTTTCTTGCTATGCCTGGTGTAATTAAGTAATGAAATATATGTGGAAGATGGTATCAGAGAAACAATCATGAGAATTGTATTATTATTCCTGTTTAGAAAATCATTATTTTGTGTTTATTTAAAGTTATTATTTTATATTATCCAGTGTTTTAACGATAATTGGTTTGGCAATTGGAACTGGATTGATTATTGCATAGTCAGGCAACAATCAGAATCAGCTGAATTTCCCGATCACGGGAGATTGATTGCTAAGAAATAAAAAATAACACCACCCAGACCACTTTATTCACAACAACAATCTTCTGATTTGTAAGTACGCTTACAATCATGACCCTGTACTTTTTACTTTTTCTTTCGACACAAAACATTATTCACCATAGAATAAAATATGATAC